GTTGAAATTATTGTTGTCATTCACATGGGAAATATTTAATTACCCTAGGAAGGTAGGTTGCAAGTGTCCACATAGCAGAGGGTAAAATTATATATATTTTTGTCCCCATAATACCTCACATCCTCTGCTGCCATTATCTCTGCCCCCTTCCCTGCCAGCCCTCTTTCTTTGTTCAATTTACAAAGTGACCTAGTGCTTAATTGACTGTTCTACCTTTCAGCTGAAGCTGTTTTCAGCTCCATCAGATCTACCTATGAATGTGTGTGTGTGTGTGTGTGTGTGTGTTCATCTTTCAGAAAGAAAAGAGACAAAGAATCTTGCTTCTTTTTCTGTTTATCTTTCCCCATTTTAGGACTGATTAATATCAGTCTACATCCCAATCCCAAAGAAGGGCAGTGCCAAAGAATGCTCCAACTATCGTACAATTGCACTCATTTCACATGGTAGCAAGGTTATGCTCAAAATCCTCCAAGGTAAGCTTCAGCAGTATGTGGACTGAGAACTCCCAGAGGTACAAGCTGGATTTCAAAGGGGCAGAGGAACTAGAGACCAAATTGATAACATATACTAGATTATGGAGAAAGCCAGAGAGCTGCAGAAAAACATCTACTTCTGGTTCATTGAGTACGCAAAAGCCTTTGACTGTGTGGAGCACAGCAAACTATGGCAAGTCCTTAAAGAAATGGGAGTGCCTGACCACCTTGTCCATCTCCTGAGAAACCTACATGTGGGACAGTAAGAAACAGGTAGAAGTGGATATGGAACAACTGATTGGTTCAAAATTCAGAAAGGAGTATGACAAAGCTGTATATTGTCCCCCGGCTTATTTAACTTATATGCAGAATACATCATGCGAAAGGCTGGACTGGAGGAATCCCAAACCAGAATTAAGATTGTTGGAAGAAATATCAACAACCTCCGATATGCAGATGATATCACTCTGATAGCAGAAAGTGAGGAGGAATTAAAGAACCTCTTAATGAGGGTGAAAGAGGAGAGTGCAAAAAACAGTCTGAAGCTCAACATCAAAAAACAAAACAAAACAAAAAAACAAAAACGAAGATCATGGCCACTGGTCCCATCACCTCCTGACAAACAGAAGGGGAAGATATGGAGACAGTGACAGATTTTACTTTCTTGGGCTCCATGATCACTGCAGATGGGGACAGCAGCCACGGAATTAAAAGACACCTGCTTCTTGGGAGGAAAGCGATGACAAACCTAGACAGCATCTTAAAAAGCAGAGACATCACCTTGCCAACAAAGGTCTGCATAATCAAAGCTATGGTTTTTCCTGTAGTGATGTATGGAAGTGAGAGCTGGACCATAAAGAAAGATGACCACCAAAGAATTGATGCTTTTGAATTGTGGTGCTGGAGGAGACTTTGGAGAGTCACCTGGACCGCAAGGAGAACAAACCTATTCATTCTGAAGGAAATCAACCCTGAGTACTCACTGGAAGGACAGATCCTGAAGCTGAGGCTTCAGTACTTTGGCCATGTCATGAGAAGAGAAGACTCCCTGGAAAAGACGCTGATGTTAGGAAAGTGTGAAGGCAGGAGGAGAAGGGAACAACGGAGGATGAGATGGTTGGACAGCGTCTTCGAAACTACCAACATGAATTTGACCCAACTCTGGGAGGCAGTGGAAGACAGGAGGGCCTGGCGTGCTCTGGTCCATGGGGTCACAAAGAGTCAGACACAACTAAACAACAACAAAAACAACAACAAAATTTCAGCCATATGGTTTTTTTTTAAAAAAAACACAATACACACAAACACCAGCCAAAGCTGTGGCTTAAGGGCTGCTGCAAAGCAAACCACTCCAGAGTTGCCAGAAATCAGATTGAATTCTCTGGGTCACAGTGAGCTCAAAGGGCAGTGGAACACAACCTCACCACCACCACTCCATTCTCATCTGCAACACCTATCTTGACTGTCTTGGAGGCAGGCATCTCTCATTTCCTCATGGTTCAGAGAGGGCTGCTGAACAAAGCTGAAGCAACCAGTGGAACCTCCAGAGAAAGACAAAGACAAAGCGAGGGTGGGAAAGGTACTTCAAGCTCTGCTCCCATGTGGTTTTCTGCAAAGTTTTAATGTAAACTGCTGTTTTTATGTAAACCACCCAGAATACTGCTGTGCACTAATGGAGTCGTGTATAAATACCAGAAAGAAATAAGCAACCAACAAAATGGAGTAAGTGCCAGTCTCCTCCACTCTGAAGCTAGAGAGATAGAGAGATGTTTCAAATAGGTTTATGAGACTAAAAGGTTCCCCCCTTGACAAATTTTTTCCAGTCGTGTCCGACTTTTAGGGGGCGGCGCTCATCCCACTCTTCAAGCCATAGAGACTGAAGGAAGCAATACTGAACCATTACAACCTGCTCCACTTAAGATGCCATACTCAAACTCTTCAGAATAGGTCTCTACTACTGCAAAAGGCTGATATAGGTGATCATACACAAGCAAGAAACTGAGACAAAAGGTGAGCAGCAATGTTGGAAAAAAACAAAAACATTAAACAAAACAAAAATTTCCAACAAGCTCTGCTAGTGAAATGATGGGCTCTAAATACACGCAGGGAAAAATCGGGTAGCCTCACAGTTAGGATTTGTCATGTAACCAGGCAAGAAAAACAAAACAAAAACTGGAAACAGAATTCATTGGAATTTGGACAAGATAAACGTCTATTTAGTCCTGCCCTTAGCTAACTGAACCTGAAGCTCCTCTATCACTGTGCTACTGTACAAGATTGAAGCAGCTCATTAAGCTCTGCACATATGTGTCAACTGGGGGGGGGCAAGGGGAACCAGCAGATAAAGCTTCTCCTATCTCTGGTAAAACTTGTGCAGGGATTATTGGCTCAGTTTACAACTGCTGGAGGCTTGATTACTGCCCTCTTACCACAATATAATATTGGGGGAGAGAAAAGACAGATTCCATTCTCTTGGTGGGCCTCAGGGTGATTTGTGGTAGGCTAACAAGGGTTTCTGGATTTTGGTAGGCTACTTAATAGCAAATGAAAATGAAAGGGTTAAACAAATTGGCAAGAACTAGCTTTCCCATTAGATGCTTATAGCTTAGCCTCAGTGTTCCACACTTGTAAAACATGAATATTAATTGGTTGTCTTTAATGGGCTTTTGGTACAACCCTGCCAGTCATTTTGGTTTGTGTGTGTGTGTGTCTGGACATAGAGTAGTTCACATATAGGTTGTGTTTAAATATATATATAGGCCAGAGTCTTATGGATAGTCTTGATTAGAACACACCCATTGAATCAGTGTGATTTATATAAGTTTTGACTTACCATTCACCAGTTAATTCAATAGGTATATTCTAGTTTAGCCCACAGTAGGCAATACACCCCATTGTCATGGTGCCCCTATTCTGGTATTTTGTTGTGATTTGTGGACCCCATAGTTGAATAAAACCAAGGCAAAGGTGACAAACTTAGCATCTTCTCTCTTTGCTATATTTGCACACCCAAGGCAGCTGTATCAAAAAGGGCAAAAACAGAAGCATTGTTTACTTATTTACTCTTCGGAATATTTTGATCTCACTGATCTGTGGGTTCAGCACCGCCTCCCCAAACTAGGATGTTCTGTGTCCTGTGCCGTCAAGTTGGAACAAATATATAGCGATATTTAAGAGATATTTAAGGAGTGGTTTTACCAGCTCCACTCTGCCAGTCGGTTTCCATGGCCAAGTGGAGATTCGAACCCTGTTCTCTAGAGTCCTAGTTTATCCCTCTATCCACTACACCACATTGAGGAAATTAGGACAAAGAAGTACAAAATATACACTGGCAAAACAAGATCAACAGGTATATTGATTGATACTAGAGACACGTCACCCTGTCTTTTATGGATGCCAGCCATAGTGGAAGAGATTGTTCCACATCTTATTAACTCTGCATAACTGCAAATTGTTATATCCCTCTAAGCCTAAACTAATCATGTGACTCCATGATAACATTGCTTTCAGCACCAAACAATCCATCAACTTTTTGTCATTCATTTCAGCAGGGCCGGGCAACTTCAGCAGGTTTTGGGGGCCAATATCGCTTCTTCTGAGATCCCCAGCAAGCAGCCCCATCACTAAAAAGGTGTTTGTTTGTTTGTTTGAAATAGTTTTAAAAAAAGAGGAATGATTGAGGTGCATGTTTATAGCGAAAGGCACCATATCTTGATTTTGTGGAGAAAGTGCTGCTCCTAGAGGCTTCCATGTATAATTATGCTCTCTGGGTTGAATCGTTTCTCCCATATGGTAGGGAAAAGAAGTCAATTTTTTCACTTGCTATTATCTGTTCACTGTAAGTAAAGAAAAAGTTTTTTATTCTTTCTACTATTAATGTCTCAAAGTGTCAACTGGGGCAAAAGGGCAGGTTAATCTGGGGAACTTGGAGCTGATTCTGCCCTATTATTCCCTGCCCTTCTGCTGCACAGCTAGAGGAATTTGACAAAAAGTCAAAACTCTGCAACACAGTTTGCACACGCAGCAGCTGTTTTTCTTTCTCCCTGCCCCAAATCAATACTTAGCAGCAGTAGCTGATAACCGAACAGTTCCTTCTGCCTTCTTGGACCCCTTTGATGAAGGCAGTGAGAAATTGTTATACACAGTTCTTTCCAGACCACAGTTATCTATAAATTGAATAGCTACGGTTCGATACTATTGATAATATATACACAGTTGCTTTTGTGCCTTTTTATCATTGATCTTCACTTTGATTCGAAAGAGGAAGATTCTTCCTGAAAACTAGCTTTCTTGCTCTTATTTCTAAAGTGAAAGCCCTTTGTGGAGCTTCGGTAGTCTAAGCATACAAGGCAGCAATGATCGGTGTTTGCTGAAAAGCTGCTACTGCTGCAACCATTATATTACCACAGCTATATATGGTGGCTTCTTTTTGCCAACGCCTGCCCTCTCACAAGTCTCTCCATGTTTTAAGGTGTGAACAGTGTCTTCTCACACTCTAAAACTGTAAGGAATCGGGGAGCCACCTACTGGGTCTTCAAATGTAAAGCCAAGGATCACGAAGCCCCATGGATCTCATACAGGGGTCATTCTGTGGAACAAGCCCGTTTAGCAGTCTCTTCCTTCTGTCACTCTGATATTCTAGACCTTTCCACCTGTAAAACAAAAGAAAACAAATGCCAAATGTAAAAAAAAAACAAACGGAACACTGGAGCTAATAGTTTTTGTGGGTTTTTAGGGCTCTTTGGCCATATTCTGAAGGTTGTTCTTCCTAACGTTTCACCAGCCTCTGTGGCTGAAGATGCCGGCCACAGAGACTGGTGAAACGTTAGGAAGAACAACCTTCAGAACATGGCCAAAGAGCCCAAAAAACCCACAACAACCATTAGATCCCAGCTGTGAAAGCCT